CGGTATTCTGTCCTCTCCTGCTGATTTTCTATTTTTGTCTGTTCTAATGTTTAAATATTAGAAATTATTATGATGAAATATTTAGTGGTTTAATTGGAGTGGTGTTAGAACTAGTGAATAACAATATTGTTGCTTGTTTCTAAGACATACTTCTCTGATTTTATATAACCTTATTTTAGGCATTTTTATATTATTTCGTCATTAATATTATTAAATAAAAGAAGTTCCAATTTGTCCTTCTTCCTAGATTAAAAATCGGACCCTATAGATGCTATCAGACAGCTGGTAAATGGTATTCTAGAAAAAACCTTCAGTAGTAAGACAGTCGCCGGCGCTCGGTCCACAGCGACATTCGACGCCAATATGTTTCAGTAGAAACCTAAGACTGGTAAACTCTGAATCTTTCTTTTGGAATATCAGTTATCTCGGCTCTTTGTGTAGTGTCTTTTTCATTTTTGAGAAAAATAAAATCTTCATCTCAAGATAAAGTTGAAAATGATACATGGAAATTCTTGAGGAATTCTGTTTTGTTCTATTATTTTTTGGATGAGTTTTAATAGTCGTTTGGTCAGATTTGGTCCTTCGTACTTAAGGAGTTCGTTCGGTATTCTGTCCTCTCCTGCTGATTTTCTATTTTTGTCTTTTCCAATGTTTAAATATTATAAATTATTATGATGAAATATTTAGTGGTTTAATTGGAGTGGTGTTAGAACTAGTGAATAACAATATTGTTGCTTGTTTCTAAGACATACTTCTCTGATTTTGTGTGTGTGTGAGAGAGAGAGATGGCATTAGACAAAAAAATTTTTCTCTAATTTTATATAAACTTATTTTAGGCATTTTTATATTATTTCGTCATTAATATTATTAAATAAAAGAAGTTCCAATTTGTCCTTCTTCCTACTTTAAAAATCGGACCCTATCGATGCTATCAGACAGCTGGTAAATGGTATTCTAGAAAAAACCTTCAGTAGTAAGACAGTCGCCGGCGCTCGGTCCACAGCGACATTCGACGCCAATATGTTTCAGTAGAAACCTAAGACTGGTAAACTCTGAATCTTTCTTTTGGAATATCAGTTATCTCGGCTCTTTGTGTAGTGTCTTTTTCATTTTTGAGAAAAATAAAATCTTCATCTCAAGATAAAGGTCAAAATGATACATGGAAATTCTTGAGGAGTTCTGTTTTGTTGTATTATTTTTTGGATTAGTTTGAATAGTTGTTTGGTCAGATCTGGTCCTAAGTACTTTAGGAGTTCGTTCGGTATTCTGTCCTCTCCTGCTGATTTTCTATTTTTGTGTTTTCTAATGTTTAAATATTAGAAGTTTTGATGATGAAATATTCGGTGGTAAGCCACTTTACTCCAGTTTGACCTTTGACCCCTGACGTCACAAGCTCCGTCCGCGCACCGATCACAACCCTGCGATGATGTCATCAGGTGCCACCAATCACGCACCTCGATGTTCATCGCCCTTCCTTCTGGAGTTTTATTCAAATTTTAATTGGTTAAAAATCGAAAAGGTTTCATATAAAAGTTAATTTTACTTTAAATATGGGACATTTTCGGATTTACAGTCAGTCTGGTTTTACCCTTAGAGGGTAGCCCCAGGGCTCTTCACTTTGAAGGGCTCTGAAAAGTTCTAAAGACTCTGACGCTGAGTTTTTTTCTACTTAGAAATTGTGTCTTTTATTTCTAAAGTACCCACAACACCTGCAGCATTGTCTTCTACAAGATAATGACCAATTCAGAGCGTACCGGCTAACTACGCAATATTTCACAATATTGCGCAATAGTTAGAGATATTAGTAAACATGGTTATGGCACCAAGTTGCATTTCAATTTCCTACGTTTGCTAATAATCGCCCGGAGACGACATGGCGCCCAACAAAATCGAACGCACCACGACTCAGAGTCAGAGAGTCTCGTGCTCCAAGTGATCCAACATCACACCAGTTCCGACACGAGGCCTGCATCAAAACCACTCAAGAAAACAGCGGGGAGAGGCATCGGATGTTAGTAAGTTACACGCTAACATGCCGATATCCACCTTCTGCAGCCTGAAACCGTCGATGTGTTAGATTTTTCGAGCCACCCGACTTCGACGCCGTACCTGATGCACGATGGATGTCCCCGGAGTAGCCAGTCCCTGCCTGCCCTACCATTATGTGGTCCAGAGTCACCACGGAGGCTCAGGTAAAACTCGCCTACGATCCACCGGCGACATGCAGAAGGTACCGACAGGGCTAGAACGGGATGTAGCAGCCGACAACCGACCACATCGCCGAGGATGGACCTGCAGATGCTGTCCACAACACCGACCACCGCCTGTGAGTGTTTTGTGCAGTGCTAGTGCGCGTTTCGCGAGTGTTACGCGAGTGTAAGTGCTTAGAGAACTGTAAGTACATCTGACAATATGGACATATCCATTTTTTTGTATATATTTAATGCATTTTTTCTTTTCTATAGTTATGAATTGTAAAAAAAATTGTTTTTTCTTAGGTTGTTAATAAAAATCAGCTTTTTTTATCAGCCTCAGAGTCTCCAAAGCAGGGGGGATGTCATCAGGTGCCACCAATCACGCACCTCGATGTTCATCGCCCTTCCTTCTGGAGTTTTATTCAAATTTTAATTGGTTAAAAATCGAAAAGGTTTCATATAAAAGTTAATTTTACTTTAAATATGGGACATTTTCGGATTTACAGTCAGTCTGGTTTTACCCTTAGAGGGTAGCCCCAGGGCTCTTCACTTTGAAGGGATCTGAAAAGTTCTAAAGACTCTGACGCTGAGTTTTTTTCTACTTAGAAATTGTGTCTTTTATTTCTAAAGTACCCACAACACCTGCAGCATTGTCTTCTACAAGATAATGAACTAATTAGAGCGTACCGGCTAACTACGCAATATTTCACAATATTGCGCAATAGTTAGAGATATTAGTAAACATGGTTATGGCACCAAGTTGCATTTCAATTTCCTACGTTTACTAATAATCGCCCGGAGACGACAATGACGTCGCGGTTCACCCACTGTGACCTTTGAACTCTAACAGCCAGTAAGTAGACATATTATTTTTGTATTTTAAATATTATCCATCGTCTATAAGACAATTGTAATCCAAATTATTAATTATTTATTAAGCAAAAAATTCTCTACCGTGGGTAGGAATCGAACTCGGGACTAGCACCACCGAAGCTAAGTATCCACGTCGCTAAGCCACATAGACGTTTAAAATCAAATAACAACAATCTGTATAAAAAAAACAAATATTTATCAAAATTGTAACACCTGTGTCATGGTCAGAACGGGATATACGAAGCAATGTGTTGATATAACGTGTAAATACAAACCGCAGAGGATAATGCAAAAGCGAATAGTAATGTCAAGGTTGGCGATATGGATATTGCAAACATATATTTTTATTTAAACTTGTGTGTTAAAAAATGAAAAGCCGCAAACTCAAAGTACGATAAAGATGTAAAGAGAAACAATTTTTAACAAGGTGGTTTTTAGTTGTAGAGAATTATGTTTTGAATCGAGTATTTAAAATATGAAAAATGACGAATGTATTTACAAATTAGTAAAGATTACTGATATCAGTGTTGCAGAAAACCGCAAAATATTATTTTATTAAAATTGCAAATAGCAGAAAAACACGTGAAATTGATAAAGTTGAAAGCAGGCTGCGATATCGACAAAACCGCAAACTGTTATCTAGGTGCAGAACAACAGCGAAGACTTCATCTTCAAAACCTCTGTGGTATTGTTAGCGTAGGTAATGATAACAAATAGTTCATAATAAATCAATGCACATATTCGGAATGCAATAATTTATTTATGAAAAGTAGAAAATTATATAGGTGACGTGTTATTTAATAAAGAGTTCAAAATAAATCGTAATAACTAAAGTAAATAATATACTTAATGGTAAAAACTTACGATCTATACATCTGTGCGGGTGTTTTAAAAAATTCAGCCATAGCGTCAAAGGTGCAGTAACAGGTCAAGCTCTTTTAAAATTTTCAAATGCAACGCAAATAATCCATTAGTGGCAGGTAATTCACACCTTTCCATGCCTAAAACTGAAGTGTCTTGTGAGCAAGACTCAGTATGTATATTCTTAAAATACAATATTTCCAAAAAAGACAAATAATTGTAACGCATAAACACATAATGCAATTTTTCGGTGTGTGCTTTCAGAAACGAAAAAATAGTTAGCGATCTAATGAATTTAGGTTTAAATAAAAGACATCCCTACAAGAGAAACTAATTTAAAAATTAGTAAAATTATTATAAGAATACGACAGGATGGGGTAAGGAAAAAGGAAATAGGTTCAGGAAATGGATCATGGGTATACCCGCCATCCAACCCGTGCCAGATAAACCGACACTACAACATCTCGTTCAGTATAGGGTAAAGTAAGTGGTTCTACAAACAGGACATAAAACGCTAACGCACGACTTGGCTTTAACAAAAATACATAGAGTATTAAAATTCATTTTCAATATTGATTAAGCAACGATACAAAAAAAGAATACGATAGGTAGTCTCTACATCAGAATGACATTTCAATTAATGTTTACATTTTAAAAAAAGAAAAAAGAGATTTTACGACCCTCCCTACATTTCTAACTAAAAACAAGAAAGATAAACATGTGAATCTGCTTTTAATACAGGATAAATACGGCGTTGCCGAAGGTTCCACTAGAAAACGTTCGTTTTCTTGAAAGTTCGAATTTTGTTTCCGGACCCTTAGCAGCTTTTCCCGAAAACATTTGGTCTAAATGAGTTGAAAAAAAGGTTACTTTCTACATTATTTTAATGTGCCAGAGAACCAGCACTATGTTGGGACTTTACCTCACCCCAAAGACTATGGCCCCAATACGATGAAGCAACAACAAAGGGATGCCTTTTTAAAATGGCATGAGACACATAAAAATGATCACTTTGTGCTCCAGAAAGAGCTCCATGCCTATTGCGACTGACAGAAGCGGAAAGGCCTAATAATGAATCGGCAAGCACTGAGCAGATGGAAGATGAAAACCCTGCTGAAGAACCTGAAACCACCTTCACGATCGAGAGAGCAGACCAAATTAATGGCCACCTTAAGCCCCAAAAGGAAATATGTAATATACTACCGAGCCCTTAAGCAAGCGCTTGCATATGGATTGATAGTAAAAAAGATACATAGAGTATTGAAATTCAAACAAAGTCCATGGTTGAAATCATACATCGATCTTAATACAAATCTCCGGAAGCCAAAGAAAAAGCTGCCCAAGCCGTTAAAAAAGGTAAAGAGCGTACCTTCTCCATCAGACTATGGAAATCTAGAGTACAGGGCCAAACAGAGGGTCCACGACATAACAAAAACCACGATTGTTTTTTTGTAAAATGAAACATAACAAAATATTCTTGGTTTAAGCTAATATATAAGGTCTACCAAGCTGTTTCACAACCATACAACATGATCCGCTCTATGTGTGGATCGTTCTGTTTTTGCCCCGAAACGGTCAAGTAAGTTTTACAAAAAATATATATATTCTTTTGAGTATTATTTGTGTAATAACATTTTTAGATACTACGCCATACCTAGTACCATGCCTACTCTAATAGAGGGGTCCTCCTCGGTGTCCAAGGGGACACAAACCGGTGAGACCACCCCTACAGAGGAGATGCAGAGCCACACAGAAGAGGAAGTACATTGGTATTTATACTTTCCTAAATTAATTTTCTAAATTTTCCAGGTGCATATCAACGGATAAAACTAGTGTGTATGAGTAAGTAAATCTACTATTGTTATTTTTTGCATAAAATAATTTTTACATTTTCAGCCTGGGGAGCGATATAGACTTGTAAGTATAAAGATACAGCTAACGTGTTATGTATATAACGTTATTTTATCACGTTTATAATTATTGTTATTGCTTTACAGAGACATCCTAGAACTAATCGGGGGTCCAAGTTTATATGAGTAAGTATTAAAGGTGTTGAAATGTGTATATTATAATGTGTCTTTTGTTTCAGGCTAGACAGCGATATTGACAGTGATAAGGAGGAGGAGAAGGATAAGGAGAAGGAGGAGGATAAGGAGGAGGGGGATTATGAGGCAAAAGAGGAGGAGGAGAGTCTATCCCCATCACTGACGCCGCCACCAACAAAAAAACAAAAAAACATAATAAAAAAATAAATAATAAAATAAAATAATTTTTTAAAAAATTTCATGTTTTTTATATGGATTGATAGTAAAAAAGATACATAGAGTATTGAAATTCAAACAAAGTCCATGGTTGAAATCATACATCGATCTTAATACAAATCTCCGGAAGGCAACGAAAAAGCTGCCAAAGCCTTAAAAAAGGTAAAGAGCGTACCTTCTCCATCAGACTATGGAAATCTAGAGTACAGGGCCAAACAGAGGGTCCTTCTCTTAAATTCAACTCTAACAAAATCTTGAAAGCATCACGTGAAATGGTGATGAATGGTTATGAATATACAACTACAAAAACTAATAGATATACTACAGGCATAAAACCTTATAAATAACATCAAAAAAACAACACGACAATATGGCAAGGAGAAAGGAGCACTGGGAAAGGAGACAGGAAAACAGATATTCCCACCCAACCGCCCGTGCCAGTTAAACCGACACTGCAACATCTCGTACAAAAATAGGTAAAATAGGGTACCGAATGTCCAGCAAAATAAGTGTACAATGTCTGTATAGACGCTAAAAAAAGCGTCGCTGAAGGTCAAATATTTCGTGAAATATTTCGTGAATATTTCGTGAAATGATATTTAAAGAATACCAACAACAAAAATAGTTATAAAAATGAAAATAAGGCTACCTATTAGAAAGAGTATAAGCATAAGCATATAAGCATGGTGATAGCCCTCTTCACTTCGCACTTCATGCTGCACGAAGTAAACGAACAGAAAATAGTAAAGTAACATAGAATTATGTACGAAACAAATATGGTTCAATATATAGACAGCTATATCGGTTCTGAAAAGCCTTTTCAGAACCGAAAAGAACCACAGAAAGAGACAAAGATTTTTTTAGATGTTTTAGACAACGCTAAGAACCACAGGAATAGAGACGATAGATTTTACTATATAATTTCTTTATTATTATACGCTGTATACTTTAGTCATATAGGAAAAAACATAAGGGGTCCTAACTTCAATGATTACGGAAAAAATTTATAATCGTCAGGAAGGTGGAAACGAAGGAGCAATGGTAAAGGAGACAGGAAAACAGGTATTCCCCACCAACCAACCGTGCCAGTTAAACCGACACTGCAGCATCTCGTACAAAAATGGGTAATATAAGGTAACAAATGTCCAGCAAAATAAGTGTACAATTTCTGTATAGACGCTAAAAAAAGCGTGCAGCAGACACGGCCATGCATGCAATGCAGTTTTCTTATGTTTCACAACTCGTTGCGAAACGAGGTGCGTTTTGCAAAAAGTAATTAGTTGACATAACGTCTACTAAGTTTGTGACAGGGTCTCTGAACGTCTTACTGGATCAACGAAAACACCACGTTTTATAGTTTTGAATATTTTGATTAAACGACAGAAAAGAAGGAAAAAGAACACTGGTAAAGGAGACAGGAAAACAGGTATTCCCACCAACCGCCCGTGCCAGTTAAACCGACACTGCAACATCTCGTACAAAAATAGGTTAAATATAGGTAGTTGATATTCACAGGAGGAAGAAAGAAACCATTGAAAAACCCTCCTATAAGTGACAAATATGTTTTTACGGAGGTATTTAATAATGTTAAATAAAGCTATTCAGTATAATATGTACTTGTATGTAAACAGTTCAGCAATAAAGTATTTAGCTGTGACACAGAAGGTAATACAGTCCACCATGAAACACCTTTTGGAAGTATTGATAGGTCCTAATTAAAAAACCAAGTATTAGCAGTTTCTAAAGTCAAGTATGGCCCAAATACACCTAAAGCAAAACTGTAATATATATTTATATATATATATATATATATATATATATATATATATATATATATATATATATATATATTATATATATATATATATATATTGAGTACTATCAGAAACAACAACAACGTCTGAAGCCTCTAGAATACGGAAGATACCATTGCGATTCTTCAGTCTGAACAGCTAAAAATAATATACGTAGATATGTAACCGTTAAACCCTAGGGTATGTAAAAATATGAAGATTCAACACCTAATGACAACTCTACCTCTCACACCACGAGACGCTTTATATGCTGGTAGAACAGGTAATACCGTAGAGAATTACAACAAATCAGGAGAACCACAGAAAAGAGCCTGAATAAGTTACTACACAATTTTATATTATTATTATTTTATGATACATCTATATAATTTAATCGTACAGAAAAAACGGAAAACGTAATACGACCTATCCGTCAAGGATTACAGAGGTAAATGACGTTCGAAGAATATACAGTGTCCCTCAGGAACATAATAACCAACATATGACCATAAAAATTTCCCTATATAATGATTAAAAATAAGTGGATATATCTAAAAACAAATGGTCAAATTGTAGACAATTCCCGAAAAACAAATTTGTCTAATACTGATGAGCAAGATCACAAGATCCTCCATAAGTATATGGCATCATACGATCCATCGAAGCCCGACTCATATCTAATGTATTTTGATGTCAATAATCAATATGGTTGGGCAATGGCACAATTCCTTTCCACACCTGTCACCGCCGTTCGTTAGGCTTTTCCATACAGATCTCAATATCCAAAAGACGACATTTACGACAACCCCTAGTTTAATAAGGTATTGTGACATGTTTATTAAAGAAAGCAACGTTAGTACAGAATTTCCCGATAAAACAAGTAGATATAAGTATAGTTCATGTGTTAAGAGGCTGGTGAAAAACATAAACAAAGGGTAAGTAGACTAAGAAGCAAAAACACATAGCCAAATGATATCAAACACAGATTCCTAGCTCGCGTATTTCACTGTACAACAACATGGTTGTGAAAATGTACAGCAAGGGTCTAACAATAACTATAGAAAGTATTCACCAGCAGAAGTACGATCAACTGATTCCATTATTAAAATGCTGACAATGGTAAAGACATTAATGACAATAGATCAATTTTATTTTCAAGTAAACGTGTATAAATAATAAGTAAATAAGAAGTACGTATAGAACAGAAAGCTTAAAGCATCAATCAATTCCTTTAAATTAGTAGTAAACAGTAAAGAGGTTAAGTAATAAGTAATATTTATAAGTAGACATAGTCACGTATAAAAAGTCATGTACAATGTACAAAATAAAAAAAAAATATTATTTTGCTTAGAATATACATACCTGGTGGGATCGTGTTGGTGCTTCTGGTTGTAGACACTAAATAGTGCTCAATGCTCTCAAACAGGCTTTTGATAGTATGTATATGGTGGGGTAGTATCAAGGCTTGATCTTACGACTTGTTTTTGTAAAAATGTATATCTACCCACAGAATCTGTTGTTGATCGTGTTATGCAAGCTTCTGCATTGATTAAACCTACCAAAACGGAAAAAACAGTAATGATAACAGAAACGGATTTACACTGACTTAACCACTTATTTATCAAAGCATTGATACGTCCGCAGATAATCGGTAAAAGTGCAACACACAAATGCAAGGGCTATGGCGATAAACGGCTATGGCGATAACTTTACCACACTTTTGAAAAATTGTTTTGTTTAAAATGGTTAATAAAATAGTTTAAAAATATGGTTAGACCACAGCACGCCGATATTGTTTTTCATAAACGCATCATAACAAAAACCACGATTGTTTTTTGTAAAATGCAACATAACAAAATATTCGTGGTTTAAGCTAATATATAAGGTCTACCAAGCTGTTTCACAACCATACAACATGATCTGCTCTATGTGTGGATCGTTCTGTTTTTGCCCCGAAACGGTCAAGTAAGTTTTACAAAAATATATATATTCTTTTGAGTATTATTTGTGTAATAACATTTTTAGATACTACGCCATACCTAGTACCATGCCTACTCTAATAGAGGGGTCCTCCTCGGTGTCCAAGGGGACACAAACCGGGGAGACCACCCCTACAGAGGAGATGCAGAGCCACACAGAAGAGGAAGTACATTGGTATTTATACTTTCCTAAATTAATTTTCTAAATTTTACGGGTGCATATCAACGGATAAAACTAGTGTGTATGAGTAAGTAAATCTACTAGTGTTATTTTTTGCATAAAATAATTTTTACATTTTCAGCCTGGGGAGCGATATAGACTTGTAAGTATAAAGATACAGCTAATGTGTTATGTATATAACGTTATTTTATCACGTTTATAATTATTGTTATTGCTTTACAGAGACATCCTAGAACTAATCGGGGGTCCGAGTTTATATGAGTAAGTATTAAAGGTGTTGAAATGTGTATATTATAATGTGTCTTTTGTTTCAGGCTAGACGGCGATATTGACAGTGATAAGGAGGAGGAGAAGGATAAGGAGAAGGAGGAGGATAAGGAGGGGGATTATGAGGCAGAAGAGGAGGAGGAGAGTCTATCCCCATCACTGACGCCGCCACCAACAAAAAAACAAAAAAACATAATAAAAAAATAAATATTAAAATAAAATAAAATTTTTTTATAAAATTTCTTGTTTTTTATTATTTTACAATTTTACAGTAAAAAATATATATAATAGAACCAGTAAATCCTTAGAGACTCATTATAGCATTACTGGTAGTAGGTGTGAAAACAATGTACACAGTGCCAAAGGTAAAATAACCATCTTCTACGAAAACTTCCAACGTTTCACCCTCGTTCACCTACAAGTTCTCGATGTAAAATATCTGTCCATCTATAGAAAACTGTAATTGAAGCAAATCGCCCTCACCATAATTATTTCCCAGCCATATCTCACCACTGTAGACGAAATTATTTATTGTAAAAGTAATTAACACAAAGTCAAGATCTTGTGTGAATTGAACCAAATTTAAGTTGATGAATTAAAAGTTTTCTGATAAAATGTTAATTTGAACAAGGAACTCGCACTTAGACATATTTATCAAACAAACAAGGTATTACTTTAAAAGAATATCAAAGACTGTTACATTTCCAGGGCGAGATTCGAACTTTATATCTTTGTGTAGAAGCAAACAAATAAGAAACCACAGAGCCATTT